CCTATCTACGTCATCATTTACCCAGAATGCTTTGTGTGTAAATAAAATGGCTCCGTCCGTGTTAAAGTATATTTTTAAAAATTTACAAAAGTAAACAGCCTACAGTGTTTAACTGTCTTTATTTTACAGTTAAAATATATGTTTATCAAATAAAATCTAATGTTACAACTAATCATGGATCCCTTTAAGTATGAAACTGACTTCCTTTGAAATCCGCAAGATAAGGAAATAGCAAGAGCTGGAACCTCGCCTGCTTTCAGTTTGTATACAAGGGTTGAAAGATAATTTGACTGAAATGAAAGAGCAAGTTTCACAAAGAGCTGAATGCGGAGTGGGGGGAGAGAGGTGTTTGTGGTTAAAGGTTAGGGAGGCAGAGTCATTATATTTACAGCACATCAGGGAGGCTTTATTGGAAAAAATCATTATCAAGGCTGAATTTAAGATTTTTTTTTCAAGCATCGTACTTTATTGATTTGAATGTTTCATGCTGATCTTTTTATTTTAGCAAATAGCTTCATTAAGTCTTTTTGCCCACAATGCATCTCTGCGGTCCTGGAACATCTTTATTGTTTTTTTTCAGCCGTTATGAAAACTTCACCAGCAGAGGATTAAACTTTTTTTTTTCAGCAGTCCGTGACTTTTTGTGTGATCAAAAAACTGGACTGGAGTCATGCCCATTTCCATCATTAGTAAAGGTAAATCTACATCGTTTACTGTTATTTTTTGGTTTCCCTGTACTATCTTGACTGCAGGCGTCTGAAAGCAGAGGCTGCGCTGATTATTTAGGTCAATTGATTCTTCAGGGAGGGAAAACAAATAATTACTGTTGTGAATCTGTGTGTGTATGTGTGCGTGTGTGTGTCTGTGTGGTGCTTTAGGTGTGTGAGGGTGTTTTGTGTAAGTGGAATGAGACAGTTAAGGATGCATTTTCCCGCCACATTAGCCAGAAACGTCTCCTGAGGGATAAGAAAAAAAGCGATGGGGAGGGGGGTGCAGAGCTGTAGTATCATCTCTTTGTTGCCATAGAAACCAGTAGCCTGTTGGCTCTGGTTTCATGGACAGATGAAGCACAGATGTCATTTAATCTGAGGCTAACAATGATGTTGATCATTACCAGTGAGCACATTCTCTCATATTTCCTAATTAAAGTTTCTGTTCACCAACCTGCATGTTTCTGACCTGCTAATAAATTCCTCAGGGTGAGGTGATGTGACCGGCGAGCAGCTAATCAGACACATTTTGCTCCTTCACTCATTATCTGGTGGCATTTCTGGATAAACTGCTCCACGCACGTGGACTGAAACAGTTAATTAGCAGCGTACAAAACACCTAATCAGTGACAAACACAACATTTTAGCTGAGCAGATGGAGATGTGCGTCAAAAGCGATACCCTTATTTATTAGCTTTGTTTTGCTGTGATTTACAGCTAAGTTTAATAAAATGAACCTGCCTCAGAACAGAATTAACCGGCAAACACAATAGTAAAAGTGTCATTTCTGGTTTCTAATCTACTTTATTCATTTCAAACAATACAAAGTCCTGGTGAGGTTTAGATGCTTAAAGTACTTGGTTAGATTGACAAATAAAAATTAGTTTAAAGATTACAGTGCCTGTGACATGCCTATCCTTCAAATACAAAAAGTCAAAGAAAATATCTTTATATTAAAAAATCTTGACATAATATACATGACTTTACCCATTTTGTCACATAACTGACATGTTTTCTCTTGATCTTGGCTCAACTAGAGTGAAACAGGAAGTGACATCAAAGGAGAACTCTTTCAGGATAAAAACTTTGTTTATTATAACGATATTCTTCATTTCTACCTAATAATAACAAAAAAAACAAGATTCTTCCATAGTCTGTGTTTTAAGCCATTGTTACAATGCTCTGTTTACGTGCAGATGCCCCCCTTTGGCATCACTCCCTATTACTTCACATGCAAATATCTCAACAACT